AAGCGCGTGTAGGCAACCAGTTATACTCAATCAACTTGCAAAGAGTATCAACAGAGTGAAATCAGATAGTGCGTGGTTTGCTATCGACGAGCAATTCTAATTCACCGTGACCGAAACATTTATTCTCGGTCACACGCATTTGATACTAAAACTATTTGATTAGAATAATTTGCGGTAATGGGCACTCGAACTGTTATTACAGTGAGCACTCGTTCCGTTTAATTCCATTTTCTCGACGAAATTAAAATTCTACTATACATATACTAGACCTATCAAGATAAAAAACAAAAAGTAATAAACCTCGCTACGATCATTAGTAATGAACAAAATTTTTTTACCGATTCTATAATCTGATAGGTACCACGGAAAACGTTATTACCGTAATTATCTTGTTATTTAAATTTCATTAATATTAAAGTTTCCTTCGATAATAAATAAAAGGGAAAAAGATTTCTCCCGGTTCTTCTCAATTGACAAATTGAAAATCGATTTGATAAAATTGCATAAGGGAGAGATAGACGTACTTGAAATTAGTTATGAGAAAAGTTTTTCGTTTTTTCATATTGCTCCCATTCCGGCCGGAAACAAACTCGGCTCTTACATTTTAAGCGTTACAATCCACTTTGAGGCAACAGAAAACTCGATCATTATACGGGGAACGCACACGTAAACCGTCGAATTAAAATATATTTTTGCGTTTATTTTTGTTGCAGTTTCATATCCGATCCCTATAGTTGTCCGTGGTACCGCGTTAGCGTTAGTACTCGGCGTTTCAATTTTGGCGCTCGGTGTTATCCGATGTAACTTTCCATCGTGTGTTCTCGTCGCAGAAACAACAATCGCTCTGTTTAACTTAAATAAAATTTGCATGAAGCACGACCGAGTTCAAAACGACGAATCAAGGGGCAAATAATTCGAAGCGGTTTAGCAATTGGCTTAGCGAGGTGAATGGAATTCCAGAGTTTATTCTGGTTATTTGAGTAGAAATGAGTTATTCACTATTCTTGCGTAGTTTGAAGGAATCGATTGCGATCTTTTATCTATTTTATTTCCATTCCGAATGACCTGTCGGATGGTCTAGAGGATTTATGTATAAAGCCGGTATGTTTCTTAGCTAGGATCAATTTTTGTTGTGACCCGTTTAGAATTCGGCATCGATCGTTTGCGTAAGACGAGCGGTTAATATTGTGATTCTTGTGTGCTGTAAATGAATCGAGTTTGTGAAGTGGGTGTGCGTCTGAGTATGTTTGGGGAGGGTAACAATGAATTGATAAGAGTTAGCGTTGCACATTCCGTGTTCGTGCAATGGCTTTGTTGATTTTAGGCAAAGCAGTTTAATCTAAATGTGTGTGTATTCGGCAACGTTTCCAGACTTGAGCGTGATTGCCCCATAGCGCCCGACTCAATTTGACGCAGTAAAGTAATGCAAATGATAGTCGAGTGAAACGAGCAGAAATTCGCGGCCAACTAATCCAGAGTCTTATCCTGGTGTAAGTTCGTCAACTACCTTTAATAAGTGGTACAAACCTAGAGCAAGCGAGCCTTAATGAATCATGGTCCGGATATTGCCCTGTCGGCGCCCTTCCCTCATTCAGTACTTCGGTGGGCTCAATTGCACGTCATTACATATACAACATGATACACAACTTGTGAGGAATTTAATCAAAACTACGGTTATTAGAATCGATCTGCTGCATTTCTTAACGTCCCGCCTAATAGATTGCGAAACAAAGGGATGAAAAACTTAATAAAAGTACTACACGGGATATTAAATTACAAATTTTAATACCGGCGGGACAGAAGGCGGAGTGTGCAACTAGTATGTAAAAGAAGTCGGTACCAGCCAGGCCTGTCTTCTTAATAAGATTCACAAACTTTCATAACACCAAGTCTTCGTCTTTTTCTCTTTGGAAAACTTTTTCGAACCTCTCGCTTATTATAATTTCCCCGCGTCAACTCCGATGACATCAATCTATATAATTTCGAAGCAATTACGACCATTCTCTATGCACCTTCGCACTATCAATCACCGCCATTTTATTCAAATTATCCAATCTACCGCATACTCACCCGCGAACTCCAACCCTTTTGAAAATCTTCCCGATTACCGACACCATCCAATAAAACTTTCCATAATTTTTCACTGAACAATAATTTGCGCTTCGATTTCGCCCCCAGTTCGTCCGAGACGGGCCACCACGATCGCACGCGAATCTGACCCATGGGAGATCTCTCATCGTCCGAAAAGAAACACTCGCGACGCGACAGGTTCCAGCCAATAATGAGCTCGATCAGAGAATTACAAAAACGACATTTCTTTCTCTGGTCTTTGCGAAATATTTGCGCAATTACCAAATCTTCATTCCCAAAATCGTCCAAACAACAAATTTTACTTTCGTCTTTTATGCCATTTTCCGTCATTTTCTCTCGCGTTCTTAATTATTTCCCCGTTTTATTAGACAAAATGAATTTCATGCGAAGCTAATTAAGTTATAATGATCGGTCGAGCGTTACAACCTGCGACTTAATTCGGTCCAGTTCTCTCCGTGGTCGCCGATATTTTATTCACGTTATCCGAATTCCAACCCTTTGAAAATGTTCACAATCACCACCACCGTCCAATAAAACTTCCGATAATTTTTCAGCCAACTAATAATTTCCACTTCGATTTCTGCGCGAATTCATCTAGAACAGGCGAAAACGGAATCGGCAGATACATGCGAATCGGTGCCATCAAACTTTGTGGAATTCCACAAAGGCACAAAGGCGTACTCGACAAAATAAAAAGTTAAAATGCAAATTAAGAACTGTAAATGGAAATTAAAAGATAAAACAGCGAGATAATCGCTGCAATCGCAGTGGTTAAAATTACTTCATCGCATAAATTTTCAAAAATATCTTTAACATAATCTCAAATATGTGTTAAACTGCTCCGGCGACACCGCGATGAAAACGCACCAGAATGTAAGAAAAGAACAAACGAGCAAACAAAACAAAGCGAGAAATGTCACATTTTAAAAGCGTGCCGGCAAAAATGCATTAAATTTCGGCGATTTTTTTTAAATTTACGACGTACGCGTTAAGTGTGCGAAGTTGGAGATGTGCGCGATATGCACACGACGACGACGACGAAGTTGCAGATCTTGGGCGAAAATGATGTCGGTATTAAATAAATGAGCGGAGAAAGGTCACCTTTTTGGGGTTAATGTCGAGTATTTCTTTAATACATCTCAGGGGAAAAATTAGCCAAAGTCTAAATTTATAGAGCCGGGGGTGAAAGGTTGTTGAAGTCGTTTATTTGATCTTTGGATGATGATAAAAAAAATCGATGTAGGTGTTGTTCGTTTTGAAGTTAATGTATGCTACGTAAGTAGATTTGAGAATATAAATTTCCGTCCTAGACGGGAAAGGGCAAAGGAACCGACCGTTAGTGAGGTCGTCATAGAGATTTTAGGGTCGAAATGTACACAGGAAGGGATCCACAAGGAGAAGGCAATAGAGAATATTTAATTTATTATTCATAACTATTGTGTAACACTTGTCATTTACATGTTTGATTAGCGAATCCATCGGCAGTTCGGGCAAACGAGAGGATTTGGTCGAATTGCCGCAAACAAATAAATCGGCTCGAGACGAAGGTATTGTTTTAAAACGAAATTTAACGTGTTAGGTTCGTTGTAAATTCTATAAGATCGAAAGGAGCAGGTTGTTTTGTTGTGCCTTGGGTCGCCTAGGGTGAAGTTAATCCTATGGGAACTCGAGTGACGTCAGGACAATTAGAAATTGTGGTCGCAATCCTCGACTGCTCGTTCACAATAAAGCTGGAAATACAACAAGCGCAAACCGACGACTTCATTTCTTACTAATAGTATGAATAAGATTAGGTACATTCAAATTTACAAGAGTCATTATATTTTGAACGAGGTCTCCCCGATTCGAATTCATCCGATTCCGACTTCTCGATTCTTGCGATAAAAAGCGCATTCTCTCCACTTATCTAAATTTATTTAGCCCCCTTTTGGCGAAAGTTTGTTTGGGCGTCGAGCCTCATTATTCCTTGTCCTCATGAAATTTCTCGAATTTGTCGAATTTCAAATTTCTTGATTGAGCTGTTTAGAAAAAGTGCGTACTTTACTCAACAATATTTCAGCCCTCTATTCCGCTCGCTTTTAGTTTGTTCTCAAACATGCGGGTTGAATTTGACACTCCCCTTGAGGTCTGATATTCCACTACTAGCACCCACTTCTTTGATGTGCAGTTTATTATTTAAACACAGTATGTCTTCCTTATACTAGTCTACGCTATTCCCATTTTACGTTTCTGACACACCTTTGTTCTTGCCTACACGCACACACACACATTTGCCTCTTTTTATCAAAGACGATTCGCGCTTTTGACATTTTTACACAAACTCGGCCTTTTCGCAAAATTCTCCACATCTAAAACCTCCCATTTTCCGATACTTCTTCCAAATTTCTAACCGTAGCCGTGTCAAGGAAATGCACAAAAACTTAACTTCTCAAATTAGAATGTACATACAACACGCACAAATTACGCAAATGTGTAAATTTTAAGTGGAGGCAGTTCCTGGAGATCGCCGCAAAGTTCTACGTTGATAAATTCGATTAATAAAGAAAACACCAACGACTGCACATATTTTTTATGGGAGTAACGAAGTCATAAGGAACACTCCTTCTGTTGTAAAAGTCTGATGGTAGAGATTTTGATTCGTGTTTCATTAAAATTCGGTCGAGTTCCACCGAAACGAATAAACTACCGCCTCAAGAAACCCGTAAAAGCAGAAATAAATTAGAACTTTTAAAAAGCCGATTAGGAGTTATGTACATACTTACTTTTCTACATGGATGAGGGTTGTCGTTTAAAGTTAACGACTTTTGTTTCTCTAATTGAGTTAGTAATATACAAGAGTAATGTCATTTTGTGTTTTTAGTACATTAATTTAAGAAACTCTATTATAACTAACTTCGTTATGAACTTACCATTAAGGAAAAAAGAGACTTTGAATTTTGCTGAAAAGAAAAAATGACAATTACTAACTGATGTGTAATGGAGGTGATTAAACTTACTACATCTACAAAACGCTGTTGTGGAATTTGCAGAAGAGGGGAGAATCGCTTCAGCATTACACTTTTTTTTCGTTAGTCGACGGAACAAGTTTTTATAACAAGTGGTAAAGTTTAAATTTTTTCTTGTTTTTTTCTTGCGTGCTACGCCACTTGATGCCCGGCGAACGTCATGGCGCATGCGTCAAGCGACGAAAGTTCGAAAAACTAAATCAAATCGCGAGTCCTTCTCGTGGTTACGCCACTGGTAAATGGGTTACGTGTGACTACACGTACTTCTCTAATTGCTTTCTCTTCCCTCCAATTAAAAATTATCGGCATTCGCTCTAAGAGCGTTTTAACGATCTATCTAAAATTCTCTGTTGACGAACTCGGATCATGTCACGCGGCTAATGTAGCGTCACCTCTTCGAATAATTATCGACAAAATTCCAAACTAGTAGTGAACTGTTAACATTAATCGCGCCTTGTAGTGTAAATTAGTTAAAACCTCAACTTAAATGTGTACGCCGTATCAAGGAAAACAGGCTTTTAGTCGAAAATAATTTAATCTACAGGAGAGTCGAACGTCGCTATCGTGCACTTATACAACCCACAATACAGTTAGGCGAGTGCGTGGCGGCTCGTGCAGATGTATCTCTCCGTATTTTCCGTCTCTGGTAAATAGCAACAAGAAACGAATTAAGACCATTTCCGATCACGTGTAAAACCAATTTATAACTTCATTCCATTCGAGAAATGAAATTATCACGAATTAAACGTTAACTCGATTACTCGCGAAGTGCGCAAAGGGCTTTTTAAGCAATTAAGTGTTTTGCCAAAACAGATCATTACACAATATGTGTTAATTGGATTCCCGTTTGGTCGATGGAGGGTATCGGACTCGAGATCGTAGGGTTATTTGCTAATAAGGATAATTGCGCCGTATACAACTTATTAAGTTTAAACCGCGTTCAATGCTGACAATTACTGCGAGTATTAGACCGTGGCTAAAATGGGTAAATTGAGTAATTACTAAAGCCGTGAATGCTAACGGACGCAGGGTGTGTACGCAAGGGTGCCAGCGTAGAACATCACTTCTTTGTCTTATCTCGGTAGGTTCCAGTATACATAAAAAATTAATTTAAAGAACATTACTCGCTAAAATCTCAACTTTAGCAATTTTCCCGAGTTTCTAAAGCTTAAAAGGAAAACTCAAAACACAATAAGACTAAGTAAATCTTCCTAATTTTTGGATGAGGCCCTAACGATTTTAATTTCGGAATAAGAATAAATTCCACAAAAATCAATGCACGCTCAACTTAACGATTATTCTTCGCACTCGAGAAGAAATCGCCATACTACTACTACTATACAAAAACATGAAGAACTCCGCGGCTCTTTTATCAACACGGTCCGAGTTTTGCTAGAAATACTCGTGTCGAAGTGAGAAGTTTGTCTACGGCGTGCATAAAAAAAGCAAAAATCAAGAAAGAGTTCGTGGCTCGAAAATGGAACTTTCAATAAGTGTTCGGTGATTGTCACCTTTATCAAGACCGGGTGTACGGGCGCGTACGCCGCGTATTCTTTGCCTTTGAGCGATTTCCGGGAGAGGTGGTCTCTGTGACCCACCGTACAAAAGAGATTCGAGTTATATGTCGTCTATATGAAACTAAAAATACAAAAACACCTGACCCCAATTAAAATCTGGTTCCAGATTTCATACCGAAAGTGCTAGTTTTACACGGATTTCGCTTAAAACCACCTTCGCGTTAAACATATGTAGATTGCACGCATCATCTTTCATACGCTGCCACGCGTACTTCCGTATAACAAACCCACCGAATGACTAATGCACAAATGTAAATGTAACGCGGTTGTCATAAATTACGGAAATTGAAAAACGCATTTCAGCGCTTAACGAAGCCTTTTGAATACGCGTAATTCAAGACCCGTTTCAAGGACGACAAAAAACCCCAACTTGCTTTCGGATCCACACTGCGTCTTTTTATGAAGTTTTTGAGACACACTGCCCCCCCAGTCTCGTACTTCTTTATTATGCGAATCGTTTTCGTCATATTTAAGTGCGCCTACGATGACGATATCCTTCCATCTTTCGTACTTCTGCTATGTCGTATTCTTACTCACACAAAATGCCTCAATCGTCGTAAAAAAAACATGTTCGAAAAGTCACCTGTTGTCGATACCGAGCGTACGGTTGGTTGCCTATAAGGTGGTACCACAATTGATACGAATGAACTCTAGTACTTCGCAAGTTGCTGTTTTAGTTGTTTCGTAAAATAGCAACTTAAAAGCGAGCTCGTTTTTGTCGCGTGACGTCACCAAAAACTGACAGCGTGACGGAAGTGGAAAAGTTCGTGTTCCGTTAACCATCTAGAAGAAAGGGACGACCGAAAGCGTATCCATCATCAAACGATTTTAAAGAAATTTTTTTGCCGAAAATGCACAGGCGTCTCGACTGGTAAAGTTGACAAACTTTCTGTCGATCGTTACAATGTAGTGGGTGGTGTTTGTTCCGGTGCGACCCGCGTCATATCGTGTTTATATTTTTGTAGTCCAATTTTTGTTTAAATAAAATGTTGAGCTTAATTAACGGAAGTAACAAAGGCTCGGGTTTCGTAAACACGGGCGAGTCGTCGGAGTTACGCAAAAGAAAAGGATCCTTATTTAAAGACAATTTACTTTAACACCTACTCTAATTTTAAAATACAAGTTAGGAAAAAAAGGTGCCTACGCAGTCGTTTTATCTTGGCGTTTTTGTGCGTTTCTCAACTCTTTGTTAAAAACAGTATTTAAATGGAAAGTAAAAAAATGTGTGTTTAGATCGATCAGTTTGCGTTATAGAGCTCGAACGGCTTGATAACGTTTTAACCACGTTTATTACATCTTGGAGTATTGATTTGCGGCATTCACGAAGCAAATGTGGACAATGATAGCATAATTAATCTTCTCGTATGTATAATACATAACAAACACGTCAAAACATAAACGATTAAGTGTTTTCACGAAAAACTCTTTGAAAATATGTGTGCTTTATTTAATTTATTTATGAGGGAAACTTTTTCTATAAAACTTCGCATCTATGCGGCATTTAATTAAAGTCGCAGATTGATTGATTAAAAAATGACGAGAACAAGGAGAGGAGAAAGGCGTCGATTTTTGACAGAGAATTTCGTCGATCACGATTTCGTTTTTCGTGCGCGCGGGGACGACGAGTTTCCTTCTTTCCATCGTGGGTACGTTTTGGTGGCGTATTTTATTTTTATTTCCTCAATGACGACTAATTAAAGTGACATAACATTTAAAATGCAAAGAGAACCAGTAGGACGCCCAGTAATGACGCAGCTGACATATTTATACGATGATTTGAATATCACACATGCGAGCAACTTAACTGCCGTTCACGAGCTTTACGAATTGTGCAAAAGGCTATACATTTGCGTTACAAGATTCAAAAAAGCGGACGATTTATCCGAAATGACAAATAATAGAAGCACTGTTGTTGTCTGTATCGCCTCCGTTCTCCACATAGCTTATCATGAAGCTGAAACCGTACCGAAATTTTCATGAGGATTTGCCAAACTTCTACAAACGATGACAGGCGTCAGTTTACGCTTTTCGTGACAAGCTCATAATTTAAAAAAAATGCTTTACTTCTGCCGGGTTGTATTCATATTGCTACGTGTTTCCTTTTAACCGTGAAATGAAAGAAACACATCAAATGATATATGGTGAGAATATTCGCACTTTCGTCGAAATTTCCGACAAATTAAAACGAATTCGGTTACAACTATTTATCTGGATGAAGGTAAGCTAAGACATTATTTAAAATTAAACGAGTAAACGAATCAAATCTGTTTCGAGCTGGTATTTGTATTCTTCTCGGGCGACGAACATTTATAAGACCACCCCCTAAACATTCTATTCAACGTTGGAGACACATTACCCATTGTTGTCCCTAATAAAGGTAACTTAATGTCTTCCATCACTGATTTTACTTCGCTGCTTTACCACCAACGTGTAAAAAACGTAGGCGCGCTGCGTAAATTATATTCATATGCGCCACAATCGATTCCATTATGATCGTAATTTTTGCTCCGGAATATATGTAGTATGTACAGAAGACGAAAAATGGATCGAACTACTTCAAATTTGTACCGAAGGCGACGAAAGTCTAGAACCTTAACGGTGGAACGTTTTATAGCGCGAGTCGCACATTATGCTTACACGATAAATCGGAATTTTTCGTTACTTAAAACGATAAAAATGATAGGAGCTGGAAAAAATTAGACAAAATATTGGACAATAAAACTCTTTCATTAAGTCAATAAATTCCGATATTTCCGAGATGCGACATGATCCCTCACTTAGACCTTTTACGGTTTTATTTTATTTGCTTTAGTAAAGATTTACTGTCGAGATTGTTCCTCTATGAGTATTGTTCACATAAATTTTTACGAGAGTGGAAGTAATTAAAGAAGCTTTCGATTTTTCGCCGGTTTTCGAAGAATTAACAGTATCTCTGTTTGATTAAACGATATTCAATACGTCCGGGATGAAAGACAAATGTGATTCACGTTCCGGCAGTGTTTGAATGTTTGTACAACTTGATTGCTGACTGCTTGATTTCGAGTATATTTTATCATTTATCATCGACAAATCCCGAATTTCACATAAAAATCGAACAGTCGCCTTTCTGTAAACAAAAAATATAAATAATAAATTATTCGATAAAAGCTCAAACAATAGAAGCAAGTCTGTTATTTAACGTGACGTGATTTATTTTGTCGGATATTTTACACGGTGGGTCCCTTCTTTAAATTTGCGGCTTGTCTGGCACAGGTTTAAAGCTCATTGTGCATTATGTGGGAGGCCATTTGTGAGAGTGGACACACCTAGTCCAATAAAAAATAAATTTTTAGGGCGGCTAATGTATTCAAGGGTAGA